CCCTTCATGTATTTAAATAACCCAGGCTGCCTCCAATGCTGGAAATTTTCAGAGAAAAGCTCTATGGATTTTTCCTTATCTTTAGCACTTCTACAGAAATAATTATACGTGGCCCTGGAGCTAACGGACATATGGACTATAGTTCAGTTCCTCGTTGGAATTATTCTGAAAGGCATATGTTTGGCTTGAGGAGCCTAAAGAAGTTCCTGGTTGTTGTTCATCAAATGATAGCCAGAGTGAGCGCGATATTCTACAAGTGTGCCGCTTTTTTCACCTGCTATTACTTGTTCTAGCACCCCGTGAAAGCAGGAGTCTCATAAGGGCTTAAATGCTTCTCAGCCAATAATGCCCGGTTTCACCAATCAATATTAAATATATAAGACTGTTAAAATTTAGAATATCCCAATTTAGTTTGAAAATTTTGCTATTTTAAACTTGAACAGTCTGATAAATTCTAAAAATGATGATGATTGTTAAAACCGGGCATCAGTCTGTAAGCTTCCCTAAATTAGAACGGCTATGAGAAGACGCTATATCCCTTTCCGAACCATCTATAAAGATTGGAATATCATCATTAGATAGATGTTGGTATTTGATGCCTAGACGAAAATTGAGTAAAGATCTGATTATGCATACTTCGCATAACTTCGCAAAACCACTGGTACCACTGCAATTGGAATGCCACTTAAAAAATGTAAGGCAAATTCTAAGCTTAACAGAAGTTAAGTTCGCGAAGTAAGACAAAATTTCGTTTCACAAAATTCATTGATTAAATTCGACGCTTAGTATGAAGCTCACGTATTATTATTTGTACAGGTGATAGTGAATCATATTACCGAATGTGTTTATTATGCGAAAATTATCCATCACCGAATATGAGGAAGAATCAAAATTTTTGTTATAAATATCGCATTCTTTTAGAGTTAAATATGTATTTTAATAACAAATTAAATCCACAAAAGCATTGGGCGAATAAAAAAAAAATGCCAAGCAATTTTATAAATGACCGTGTTTATGTCATTAGGCAATTTTCTTTAGAATGTACATATACATAACGAAAATGCAATAATTATTAAAATGAAGCTGATTTTAAGATACATATGTAAGCAAATATGGCACACGCAACACTTTTTGACATTATAGTCGGCTATGAGAGAGCTCAACTGGGTTGTCACTTCTACCTTGTTGATTATGCCTTGGTTTTAGGCACACTCGATAGCATGTACGTATCTATAGGTTGAGAAGTTAAATTCATAACAGTATGCAGAGTTATTGGTTAAAAACGCTTAATTTTGGAAATCATTTAAAAAAACTCTCTAATTAAATGCATTAATTTAATATATACATACAAATAACTACCCGATATGCAGTTTTTATCAAAACCTCGGCAGTAAACAATTATGAAGGTCTGTAGCGAGTTTCTGAACCCAACAATGCATGCAAACATCTTTTGTGCGGCTTCTTCGTTATGCACAGCCAAGGCGAATTTACATAAGGTGGTGTTACTAGCTCAGCTGATTTTGTGTATGTGTTTCGCCGCACGGCTTCTGATATCAAATTGAAAAATTTTGTTTGAATTTCTACACACACTCTTACAGATTTTGACAGTTTATGCCGCCAAAGCAAAAACAAAATACATGTAAATTTTTGTTTTTGTACTCCTGCTATCACCTTATATTAATTCGCCTTGTGCACAGCGAATGAACAACACACTCAATCACGTAAATGCAATTACCCAAGCAACAATAGAAGCCGTTTAATTTTTTTCCACTCTCAGCACTTTAGCAGCCATCACTCGGTGCTGCAAATGCATTCATCACTCCTCACTCCCTTTCTTTAGGAGATCCACTCGATTTTCTGCACTTCATTCGTATACTCCTCTTCAGTTTTTGCAGATAAGGCAGGTATTATTTCAATATTTCGCCGGCACCCCATCTCCAAATAAAAACAACATAGCCACCGGCATTTTCTATTTAATAATATTTCTTCCCTTTGGCGTTTGCTTTATTCTCGCTTTACCCCTTTTCACTAGTACTTCTTCGCCTTGTTCCTAAATTCTATGCTTTGCGTGTTCACACTTTGCTGGCTAGCGCTTCTACTACGATTCGTTTATGCTCGTGACTTTTGTAGCAACTCAAAAGGCTGACTAATTAAATTGATTACGCCTCTTTGAGTGCAAGTTTAATGCACTTTGCATCCGCGTTTGACGCTCATCAGACGCATTGTCGCTTCACGGCCAACGTTAGTCTGGGTTTTGTCGACCGTTGCATGGTCACATAGGCGGCTCTTACCGCCTGTGGTGTTAAGTGCAGGCTTTGTTCAACGTTAGTGCGTTTTATGTTAGTTTTTCATGCCATTCCATTGTTTTGGATTTTTTATTTCTTCTTTAAAGAATTGTAATTTTTTTGCTGCGTAATTCATGAGGAAATTGAATACAATGCAACAAAAGGACGGCATCGCAGAAACTAATTTAATATTCAAGCCTACTTTTTATTTGTTCAGCAAAAAGGGTTTACGACTTGAACTTAATGTTATAGAAGATGTAAGATTCTTTAAAAGTTTTTTAATAGTCCGGTCAATTTGGACATTCCAGATAGCAAAAATTCCTACCCAGCTGAAAATTGGTAGGATTGTTCAAAACACCATCATAAATGAAATCTAAAAAGTCCTCATCGATCCGATACCTGGAGGAAAAGTTACTCGGGATCAAAGGTCACAAAAACGAGTTTTTCGCGATTTTCAGTAAAGCGGGAAGTTTGTCATAAAATTAGTTTAGACAAAAATTATATATCAGATAATTGTCTATAAAATATATCTAAATACTTTTTGTCCTAAGAGCCACCGTTTCCGAGATATAAAGATTCAAAAAGTTGGAAGAAAAACGAATAATCGAAAACAGTTCACATGATCCAAAGTTATTCGGTAACATACATACAAAAATATTTCTCCTTTTTTGAAGTCGGTTTTTCGTTTGTTTTAATATTTCGGGCATCTTCGCTATTTATTGGGATTTTTGGAGATTCGAGATTTATCGCGACTTTTCAGATTTATTCGATATTTTTCATGACATTTTCGGTTTCTCTGAATTTTTCGAGTTTTTCGGAAGTCGTGAATACCTAAAAATAAAAGGCAAGGTATACCGGGCAAATTTTGCTAATATATTTGCAAAATATCCCATGCATTTATTTTCTTGATCGAACAAATAAAAGTCAAAAATTTACTAGTTTTTTGTATCATTATTATAAACGGCTTTGTGCTGTACGCACACTCGGCACAGCTTTTCCTCTTCAATTAAATTTGGGTAATTATCGAAAATGAGGAAACCATTTCAAGAGTCATCTCAATTTATTGCGCAACTAGCACACCACTGGAAAATTGCAATAATTCCACTCAAATTATAAGTTGCAGTAAAAACAAAAATCGAAATAAATATTGAATGCATTCGTACAGGCATACATATATATTGACTTAAGTCAAGCAAACCAAAATGCAACGCTTCCAACCGTATACCTGAATTACTCACCAATTTCGTATACCACAACCACGAGTAATAGCGCCAAAACTCAAGTGTGGGCGTTTGTTTCGTTAAACGCTCCCCAGTTACCATTTACCACTTACAATGTAGTTGGCCCCCTAAGCGTCTTTCATATCCATATTACCTATCTACGTTATCTGCGGAAAGCGAATTTCACCTACATATTTTGACTTATTATTTTCGTACAGCTTGAAAGCTGTAATTTTTGTAGAAAAAATAATTTACAAATAAAAATGTTCACTAACGACGTTTGTGCCAGCTGAAGCATTACGGCCGGGAATGCAGTTGCAGTAACTTTCATACATTTATAATGGCGAATAAAAAATATTCTCACTTCTCGATTTCGGCCCCTACCTGCCTCATCGACTGCGGCATCAAGTAACAGGCGAAATTATTTTGAACTGCTGCTGCATGCAGCACTGGCAAAACTTTTCCAACACTTGCTGTTGCGCTGAAAGCTTGTGTGGAGCTATAACTATACATAAATATGTACATATATTTTTACTATCTGCGTATGTACATATGTTTGTAGGGCCATATTTTCGTTTCGCTACTTCAGGCATTGCAGTGCTTCATTTTTTCTAGCATAATTGCGCTTTTTACTTATAAATATTTGCATGATATCGCCTACAGTAATTTATTTTCCCTTTTTGTACATTTTTTTTTTTTGTGAAAAACTGCAAGTTATTCCTTCAGATTATGTTGCTTACTTAACTTCTCTGAACTTACCAACAGGCATTTTTTTCTGCAACTTATATTTTTATGTCTCTTTTGTTTTACGCTCTGCTTATTGGTCGACCTTCATTTGATTTTAAAATTGAGTCGGAAAGTTTGTTGCAATGAATATTCGCAAATTAACCCTAATTGCAATAGCATTTGCATTCAAAAATGTTACAGGCACGTTTTCACTTGTGCGAGCTTTGATGCAGCCATTTCTTTTTCTAGAAAGCTTTTCAGTTGACTGGAGCTCTTAAATTAGCAAATATATACATACATATGTATATGAATGCATTCACAACCACGCACATGCTTATCGCTCATTTACTACAATAGTGTCATAACTCAAAAAAAAAAAACAAAACTCGAAATCGTGTTATCGAGATATTTATTGGGCCTAATGAATTAAAACTTAGCAATTGCTCTTTCTTAATATTTCAGACCTTTTAAGCGATTTCTTTAAATAAATTTAAGTAAAAGGTCTGAAATTTTAAGAAAAAGTAATAGCATAATTTTTATTCATAACGCCCATTGACGCTATTAGCAACAATGTTTTCCATTACTAAATAATCGATAAATTTATTGACATTTTTGTAGCAACATTTATAGATTTTTGTGCGATGCATACAATACACAAATATGGGGAATTGAGAAAAAAATATATCGCGAACTATCCGATGATGGTGGATTATTTTGATATTAGAGTAACCAAGTATTTTTTATAAAATTCTATCAATATTTCACTTACCAATGTTAACGATGCCATGATTGGTTAACTCCCAACACGATTGTAGACGCAGTATGCTCAGACTATGACTTTGCTTTGGCGAGAAATAACCCAAAGCAGCGTCGGTGACGTGGTAAGCCTGCGAAGGAAAATAAATGAAGTAAACGAAGTTAATATACGTACATATGTATGTATGTTGCAAAAAATATTGACGATAAGAAATTGACAGCTCATAACTATCAATTTTTCCGAAATTGAGTCATATACCTCAAAAGATTGTAAATTTTACTAGTAATTTTTGTTACTTTAGAAAAATTGTCAGTTATGATTTGTCAATGTTTGACCATCGATATGTACATACTATTTATTTTAATACTTTCAACTGATAAAATGTCCATATGACTCAAAGATTTTGCTTGAAACCTACCTGCAGTGAAAATTCATATAGCGATGGCAGCAATTGCGCCACAGCACCCACCGCCTCATCAGCGATATTAATGCAATCCGCCAGCGAGAGCGAGACAATACGCGGCGTTAGACAAGCCCATAGGCCAGCCTCGGTAACTTCATTACAGCCGGCTAGTTCGAGTTCGAAGAGACTCTGTAAAAAAGTAAGGGTAAAAGAGTGAGTATAAATATTGAAAGCATTTACAACTAGGCATACATATTTTGGGGAGTAACACTGATGCATCGACGTATAGTAAATCGATGCTGAGATATATCGCCTGAAAAGCGTCGATATATCGATGGTTTCCAATGATCCCCCAAAGTATCAACGTATAACGGGGATAGAAATTTGTAAACACCTATGGAAACATCGAATTTTGAAACGATATTGTCGATATATCAAAAACATCGATGCATCATTCGCATCCTCATTTCCAAAAACTGCAACCAATAAAGATTTTTAGTAAACCGTAGAATATTTTTAGTTTTGGGCATTCGTTGTGTCTTTTTTTGGGGGTTTCAAGATGTTTTGAGTTCTCTAAGGGTATCTTATGAATTTATTTCTTAATAAAATTAGTTTTCAACACATGCATTTCATGAATATGAAAGTAAAAATCAATATTCTGTCAAGTTCCCGCCTTCATTCATGAATATGAAAGTAAAAATCAATATTCTGTCAAGTTCCCGCCTTCATGCAGAACGCACTGCACAACTTGTGGAAGAATCTTTTCAACTTTTCGTGTAGGCTGCTTCGAATTGTGGGCAGGGAATCTTAGAAACTATATCTTCAAGATGCTTTAGATGTTTGCCATTGCCATTGTTCATATCAAAAGATTCTGAAGACCAAATCATGGCAATCAACCAGCCTAAAAACAATTTGCTTAGGTAGAACGGGAACGGAACCCCCGAGCATTTCCACTGAAATTAAGTCGATTGCTGAATTTATTTGCATTTCTTTGCCGTCATTGTCTGCTCTCAAAATGCCTTTACACAGGTCCATTTCTGTCGACTGGAAAATCGACAGAGAAATCGACTAGCGAAAGCATTTACTTTTTATGGCTGAATTACCATTTATACGTGTCAATTTTGCTTGCACGTCAAACAATCGACTAGAAAATTTACCCGTGTAGGAAAGATTCTAGCAGCTATTTGCTCTTGATTGAGAAGAAAACTTGACATTTAAATGGGTAAGTTACTTGAAACCAGCTTTCAGTCTGCTTGCAGAGCTATTTCGTTTTAACCCTTTCAGTGCAACTTTTTGTGCCCAAAGCTTTTTTTAAATAAGAGCTTTTATTTTTAAATGAACATTTGCTTTGAGAAAAGTATATTATAATTCTTTACCATTTTATTTTATTGTATTTTCCAAAGTCAATAGTGAACAGAGTAATATATAGTTAAAACTTGACTATTTTAAAAAAAAAATAAGTATTTAATATTCGTAGTTTAAAATATATTTCCCATTATTAAAATAAATAAGAACACTTTCCATTCTACAAACCTAGGGTACAACTGTCTAATAATATGGACGCCGAATAACGGTAAGACTGACTGTTTTATACAATTTTTATTGTATTTTTGGAATCAACGGACCAAAGTGAGCCGGTATACAAATTTTCGGATTTTTAGCTTCAAGGGTTAATTTTTTGTACTGAAAAGGTTAACCGAATTCAGTGTGTAATATTGTGTGGGTATTTTCTTCCAGAAATAGACGTTGTGAGTTCGATCAGATAGAAAGATTAAAAATGATCGAAGCGGGATATCTCTTCTGGAGTTATTGCTAAAAGTTTATTATTTTACATACAAACTTTTCTTTGTTCACCATATAAGTGCCGGTTTACTTAGCTGCCAATTTAACAAAGTTAAACGGTTTAAGCCAACAT